ACAATGAGGAGATTGACAAACTCAAGGCACATTTAGCAAGAGAGTTTGAAATGAAGGATTTGGGAGAACCAAAGAAAATTCTTGGTATGGAGATCAAGAGAGACAGGAAGAAGGGCACGGTTCATCTGACACAAACTCAATATTTGAAAAAGGTGTTAGACAAATTTGGCATAAATGGGAAAACAAAAGCTGTGAGTACACCATTGGCTCCTCATTTCAAGCTTAGTGCTTCGATGTCTCCACGCACAGAAGAAGAACAGAAGCATAAGGCACAAATTCCATATGCAAATGCAGTTGGTGCATTAATGTATGCTATGGTTTGTACAAGGCCTGACATCTCACATGCTGTGAGTATGGTAAGCAGGTATATGCATGATCTAGGAAAAGATCACTGGCAGGTAGTGAAATGGATCCTAAGGTACATACATGGCAGAGTTAATCTGGGATTGAAGTTCGAAAGAGATAACCGACTCGGCCAGAATTTGGTTGGATATGTGGACTCAGATTATGCTGGTGACTTAGACAAACACCGATCAACAAGAGGGTATTTATTTACGCTTGCTAAAGGGCCGGTGAGTTGGAGGTCAACGCTTCAGTCAACGGTGGCTTTGTCTACTACAGAGGTAGAGTACATGGCAGTGACTGAAGCGTTTAAGGAAGCTATTTGGCTACATGGGTTGATTGAGGACTTGGGTATTATTCAAAAGCACGTTGAGGTGTACTGTGACAGTCAGAGTGCATTTGTTTGGCAAAGAACCAAGTTCATCATTCCCGCACCAAGCACATTGATGTCCGTTTCCATTTCATCCGAGAATTTGTGAATGAAGGGGATATTCTGCTTCCAAAGATTAGTACTGTAAATAATCCGGCCGTTATGCTCACAAAAGTGGTTTCTGGGATCAAGTTTCAACATTGTTTGGACTTGGTCAACATCTCTCGGAACTGAGCACCTTCGGGTGCATGGTAGTGTTGATCGATCACTATGTTGGATAAGAGAATCCTCGCCAAGGTGGAGATTTGTTGAAGATTGGGCTAAAGATTCAGCCGAACTACTCACATGGGTTGAGGGGGTGATTTGTTAGAGATCACCTCATGTGATCATAGGGTGGCAGCCACATGGGAATGATGGCATCAACTCACTGGCTATCCACATGGTGGGGCAGCATCCAACTCACTAAAGGTGTGGAGAAGGAGCTGGCCATGTGTTAGCCAAGCCCTCCAGCTTGCTCCATCTTCAGTGTATAAATGGAGAGGCTGAAGGGACAATTAAGAAATGGAGAAAAACTATCAAAGTGTATTGTCTTCTTTGTAATCTTTGCATTTCTCTTCATATAGTGAAATCTGTTGCTCGTGGACGTAGGCGACTTGCCGAATCACGTTAAAACTCTTGTGTTATTGCTTGTTTGTGTTTCCTGGTGTGCCCCTGATCCCCAACATGGAAATTATGAAAGGATTCGATTGAATGATAATCTGAATTTTTGACTTTTTGGGGAATGATCAAATCTTTCACTTTAAAAAAAAAATTCTGAATCCCTAAAAGGTATTTGACTATGAGATAATTATCTGGTTGATTACTTGGAATAAAATCTGAATTCCTTGAAAAAAATTCAAATACTGAAACAATAATTTGATCATATACTTCAAATACAATTTTGATTCCTTAAATGAATGATATAAATGGAGAAATAATTATTCGATTGATCACTTTTAATAAAAACTTTCTAAAAGAATCTTTGATTGAAAAACTATTGCCTAATTGGTGTTGATGATCCTGAATTTCTATGGTAAGTTTCTAGCAAAGTTTGATTGGGGTTTATTTAACTACTTCTCAGATTTGGTTGCAATGATGGCACTAATAAAGGAAATTTTTCAAGCCAATTGGATTTATTAGTCTGGTTACTCTGTCTCATACTCAATTCAATATTCCCAATCTCGTCAGTCATGTCTCAACAAAAGGAACTAGGGTGTCCAACCATGCTACTACAGAAGATGTCCTTGTATGGTGAGAGTGAAATTTAGATCAATTCTGAATTATTGTTTATTTTATATTTTATTGAATTATATTTTAAATAAATTTTTAATTATATTTTATATTTTAGATCAATTGTTAATTTTAATTTAATTTTTTTTATTTTAATTAACGTATTAATCTAATTTTAGGTTTTTAGAAAATAATGATAAAATTGTACTTTTGTTGTATTAATTTCATTCCAATTTTCTAGAAAACAAAATTCACTCTAAAAATAGTGTGTGTAATACACATTCCGTTAATTTGGATGGAAAACTAACAGTGATACTTTAATCCAAAATCATGTGAGGGTTTTTCGACTATATTTGAATCATAGAGTTTTTCTATTACCACCAATGTATACAAGAAAAAGTATAACGAAGGTTAGGTGTGCTCATGTATAAAAGATCATCTACCTTGAAAGCAGACTTAGCCTCTTCCTTCCCAGGCTTGTCAGAAATTTCTATCACCCACTATTATTTGATCAAGCAAAAATCCATTCAGCGCTATGTGACTTTTACGCTGTGTTTGGTTGAAAGATTTGAGGAGAAATTTGGAAATAGAAAGGAAAAAGTTAGGTAAAATGTGAATAAAATATACTTACATTTCACTTAGTTTCACACACCTTTTCCTTTTCTCTATGCCTTTCCCTTTCTAAATCCCCCAACCAAATACAGTATTAGGCACTGAGCAAATTAACACTAAAAAAGGTGAAGTACATAAAGAAATGAACCGGCTTTATAGACAATATTGCCAGTGGAACTCTCCTCATTTCTGATACTCATTGTGGATTCCAACAATCCGTCAAAGAGATAAACAAATAAGAAGTTAGAATAATGACAATGCAACACATTTGAATGACATTATATCCTATTTACATTTTGATTTAACACAACCAAGAATTCTTGCTTAGTTTGTCATCAAACTTCTGGTACTCTATTTGAATTATACACCAATATGATAAAACTTTAATTTAGTGACACTAGAAACAAAAATACATTTCTCATTAATCACCTGTATATCCTGGCTACATTAACACATCTCTGATCAAATGACTTAATGGCCTTTTCAAGATCAGAATTAGTCATATGCCCTTGGGCTAAATTATCACTGCAACAAAATATTGACACATCTTCACCACTCAATGCGAAAAAGAAAAAGAATCAACGGAAGGCGTCAAAGAAAAATTTGAAAGTTTCAATATTACATTTTCTAAAATTGGTTTTCCTCAAACAAGTGCCTTGCCCAACCCACATAACTACGAGCCATTAAACCTGTCAAACATAAGGCAATTAACACAAACTCTGCATTAGTGCTCAAAATAGCGTGCTCAAGTTTTGTTGTTTCAATCAAATATGATTCTCCTCTTGCAATTTAATAGGCTATAATCGAAATACAGGAAGCTGAGTGTCATGGATTTAAATCAATGACTATTAAGGAAAGGTCCAAGCAATGAAGACGTGTGGCAGGTGTTCCACAACCACAACTTCAGTCATTCTATCATTCTTCGCATTTGAATATGTTAAAAGAACATTGAAATCTTATTTGATAGATTTTGTCATGTAATTTTTCTTTTCTTTTTTTTTTTTGGTTTGACGAAAGTCAATTTTTAATTGTTAGATTAGTATCAATGAGAGTTAACCTCTTCACTATTGCAAAGCACAATGTGGTTGAAGTTTTCAAAAATATAAAATGTTTAAACATAAATAATCACTATTATATAAATTTCTTGACCAATTCCTTAGATGTGTGGTTGCATAGGATGATCATGGATCCATCTAACCCAACCCAATCTAATTGACTTTGGGCAGATGTGTGTTTTTTGGCAGACGGATGCGGATGAAATATTTCAAAATCTACGAATACAGTTTGAATGGTGAATCAACCATCCCGTACTCGCATAGATGAAGTTAAAAATAAAATAAAAAATAAAAAATTGCTAATAAGTAACAACATATAATAGAAATAATAAAATATACGGCCTTGTTTGGTTTGCTTTTGAGAGAGTAATTTTTTCAAATTTTTTTCAAAATTTTGTTTGGTTTAGTGATTTCTCTCTTTTACACATCAATCAATCACTTTTTCTCTCTCCTCTTTCATTCTCAATCATTTTTTCTCTCACATACATCTACTCAACTATAATAAAATATCAAATCATCCCAAACTCTCATACTCCAAAACTATTTCCAAAATATACAACTAAACAAACCAAAAAAATTTCTAAGTTCTCTCTCCAAATTTTTTTTTGAAAATTTGTCTCACAAAACCAAACCAAACACACCCTACATTTTTGTGAAAATGGAAAACAATACATCAAAAATAAACATGTGTAGTGCCATGGCCTATTATAGAAAAATAATACATAATTTTTTAAATTACTAGTTATTAGAAATTGTAAAAGTAATGAATTATAACTCAAAAAATACTCAAAATTTGTAAAGTTCAAACTGCTAAACCGATCACATCTATCCGTCAACCCGCATGACCTAGACCTGCTCAATCTGTATCCGCTAAACCGGTGGACGAATAAGAATTGATTTTTGCCAATCCATCCAATTTTAAACGAATTGCAGATGGAATATCACCTGGCCCAACCTCTATCTCCAATCACCCACATAAATAATGGTAAAAACTTCAAAAATTTTAATTAATTTTTTTTTAAAAAAAACATAACGTTTCAAACAACTATTATAATGAAACTTAATTTTACAATAAAGTAAATAGACAATTAGATGTAATTAGCTAACAGGGAAATTAGTGATATTATTACATAGAATAAATGGGGTGTTATTAATGTGATATGTAAATGGGGTGTTATTAATGTGATATGGATTGAATATTCATATTCTCCGTGGCGTCCGGATCCTCTGCGGCTGTTTCCTGCGGCCAACCAAAACGACGTCGTTTTGATCTCTTTCATTTTTTTTGGTTTTTTTTTCCCCGCCTCTTTTTCGTTTGCCTTTTGTTTGTGAACCCTAACCCCTCTGTGATCAGTGGGTGCCTGCTACTCTGCTGCTGCCTACCTTGCAAGATTCCCAAAACCCTAGTAGTGCCAGCCAAGAGAGAGGTCTGTGTTTGGATATCATGGCAACAATGGCGATTCTGTTAGGACCGAGAAAAAGGAAGGCAAGAAGAAACGGAGGTAGAAGTGAAGTGGGCAGAGTAGGGCCCAAAATTTCAGAGTCATCAAGTTCATCATCATCATCATCATCCCCTCCTCATGTTCAATCTGTTTGTTTCCGCGGAAAGAGCATAGAAAACGATATGATCGAATGGTTCCACTTCACAATGGCAGGCAGTGACAGCAACAAGAAGGAGAGGAGAAGACGATGCCGAAGAGGACAAGTGAATCTTGTTTTTCACCATAATCATCGCCACAAGGGAGAGGGAGAGCATTCACGGATTCTATCTCCAATCCAGATCCAGCCGCCAGACTCCTCCTCCGATGCCTCCCCGGCTGCCCTGGGCTCCATCATCTACTGTATTGGCGGTCGTCGTTTTCGAAACTGTGGCCATGATGATGATCACACTCGCCAAGTCCATTATTTTGATGCTAATCATCCTACGGAGGGCTGGAAGGAAGCTTCGCCCATGATTAATCGCAGATCAGAAGCTAAAGTTGTCGCTCTCCATGGCAAGTTATACGTCTTTGGCGGCGGCTCTGATTGTGGTGGTGATTGGGCTGAGGTTTTTGAGCCATGTGGGCCTGATGATGATGGGGGTGGTCAGGGGGGTCAATGGACAGCTCTACCTTCACCCCCATCTCTTCCTACTCATGGTTATGGTTGTTTATTTGCTGTAGCTCGTAAAGCTTCCAACAAGATTGTGGTGGGATTACAGAGTGTGGTGGGATTACGGCAATCTGTTGTTGCTTATGAGTATGATGTTGCACATAATTCCTGGTTAGATTTCAAGTTAAATCCTTCTCTGTTCACGTTAAGCCAACCAGTATTAGTTGGCAATATGCTGTACTGGGTCGATTATGAGCTAAATGCATACAATCTCGACAACAAAATGCTCTTCTCAGGACCCATAGAAGATCTGCAGATTCAGGACCATCTCAGTTGTGATGATTATCTTTTTACATCATCCTTGTTTCATCTAGCTGAAGATCGTTTCTGTTTGCTTTGGGTCTTCCCCAATGGATCACTACCCCGCCTTCACTGCACCATACTGCAAGTCTCTAAAGGCACCGATATAAACGGCAAAGGTTGTCTCAGTGCTTCTGTTTTGTCCTGCCAGTCTTTTATTGTTGAATTTCCATTGGACTTCCTTGACGGCCTGCTGCTGTAATGCTGTAAGTATATCATTCGTTTCTTGGCCTATCCATACTTAAATAATATACTAAAATTAGATTTCAACAATTAAAAAGGCAAGTAAACTTACAAATAATACTTTTGTATGTAATACTTTTAATTGTAAAAGGGAACTGCACAAGGACTATACAAATAGTATAGATTTCATAATAAAATAAATTTTTTATAGGACCAATAGAACAAAAATAAAATGTCTACTGGCTCTTAAACTAGTGTCTCATACTTAATTCCTAAATAATGGTTTCTTAAATTTCTTTGAGTGTACTGCAATGCTAAAATATATAAATACATACATATATATATATATATATATATTACGAACTTATCTTGATCTACTTGCATCATATTTTTTTTAGGTTTATCATATCTTTGTATTGTATTGTAGTTGTAGCTGTGTCTGTACGCGAATCTGAATCATGGGGATTTTGCAGCAAGGATTTGACTCTATGCCCGCAAACTTCTTTTCTAGATTCATCGATATTGAATCAATCAAATGCACTTCTTACACTTTGATGTAGGACAAGTAGGGGCAGCAACAACCATAGGTTTTGGGGTTGATTTTAATTGGGTTTAAAGTTGAAAATCAGTGGGGATTTTAGGGTTTCAATTAATGAATGGTATGAACTTGGTTTAGGGTTGATAAAATGTGAGGAAAGAGACCAAAACATGGGCTGTTTAGGGTTCCAAACACCAGCTTTTGAACAGTAACTTTGTTGTTTAAGTGCAGAAACTCAACAAAGAAGGAGGGAAGGCGGAAAGATAATTCTATGAATCACTCCTGGAGACATTAGCGATCACACCTAGGGTTTAATTGCATCTAACAATCCATAATAAAGCTTCAAAGTTCTGAAATTCTCTAAAACATCAAGTCTATTAAATTTGTAGCCTTACATGACTTTGTATAAAACTAGGCGACTCCCTAAACCAATTAAAACTAATAAAGAAAATTACTAAAACTTTGACTTCCAAAACCTATCTAAAGATCAAATAAGAAACATAAACAAAAACTAATTAAATAACTTGACCTATGAGACGATCCATAGGTGACCCATATAACCCATATCCACAAAATTATGAAATTTTAACTTCTTAAGTTCATTCCCATCTTAAGTTCATCTTTTGGTTCAATTTTGACTTCATTATGAATTAAAATCACTACAAGAAATTACACTTTCGCCGACTACTTTTGCCGACTAAAAAAAATTTGGTCAAAAAAATTATATTTGCCGACTAGAAAAAAAATTGGTAGCTAAAAGTTCATACTTTTACCGACTAAAGTAATTTAGTTGCAGAAAAGTGATTTTTTGCGACTAATTTAGAATATTAGTCGCCAAAAATATAGGCGGGAGGGTGTAAAATTAGGCAGGAGAGTAAAATCTTTTAGCAACTAATACAATTTAGTCACAGATATCAAAACGACGTCGTTTTGCTTGTTAAATGCACAGGGTGACAAATAGCCGACCAACACTGTTGTAGGGGAAAACAAATTCAAACCCTCCATAGAGATTGCTAGGCAAGCTACGAATGCCAACACAAGAGCTGTGTAGAAGAACCCGCCTTTCTGTCTCTCCTCTCTCCTCTTTCCAACGGCGAGCCCTACTGCTGGCACCACCTTCTGGCTACCCTCATTGACCACCCCACCACCATGACACTACCGTCGGCACCCTCTGGCCTTTCCTCCCCCACCCCCACCAGCTTCGGCCAACTCAACACCACAACTCTCTTTTCAATCCAACCAAATTCTCTCCAATCTCTCTTCTATAGATCTCTCCTTCGATGTGTCTCAGGTAATTCAATCTTCTTCTTCACCCCTTAATTTCTCGATTTCTTTGTTTTTCTTTTTCCTGAATCAGATCAATCCCTCTCTACAAGATAGGCTATTTGAATGTCTGCTTGTGTATTTTGATGGTTTGGTTCAATTCCATAGATGCAACAAAAAGTTAAGTATTCATGTATGAGTAACCTGATATATATATATATATATATGTATTGTGGGGACTTATGTATGCATATATTTCTGTATATGCGAGTAATCATTGGTGGAGCTACATAAACCCACTCAAAATTGGGATTTTTTTTTTTGTTTAGATATGTATATTTCTGCAAAAGTTTAGGGTTTTAGAAATTGAAGGCAGTGGAATAATTAGAAAAATTGAAATTGGTTTTTTTTTGGATTTGTGATTGAATCTTGGATTTGGAGAGTGATTTGTGGAGAGAAAAGGAAAGTGATTGGAAAAATGAGTGAAAGATAAGATTAAAATAAAATGAGCTGATGGCATGAACAGTGTCTAAAATTAAAAATTAAAACTTGGAGCTTTGTTGAGTTGTTGGTGGTGCTTTTTTTTCCCCTCCTTAATTATTACATAAACTATAATAATAGTTTGATTTTTAAATTTGACTTTGATAAAAGGAAAACCCCAATTGTAGTCGTCTGGTCATGTGATGTATTTGAGGCAACTAAGAGATTTAATTATTGTTCTAATTTTTGTCATGTCTTCTTGTTGTTATTGTTTATGTATGTGTCTTTTGTGTTAATTTAGTGTTTTTACTTATGAAATTAGTTTATATGATTTTCATGATACACATTAAAACTAGGCTTACCAGCCTTTTTTATCTGGACATTTTTATCATTGTTTAGATTTCAGATTGGAATTGATGTCTGTACTACTTTCGATCTTTCTTTTGCCATTCTAGGTGAATCGCAATCCTTCATTTCCATACATGCAGATATGTCCTGTTTATTTTCTTTTTTTCCATTTTGTATAAGAATTTCAAGGGGGCCTTACAATGTTGGGTGGTTACTCCCAACATTATGTAACATGTGTATGTGGTGTATTTGTTATGACAAAGATGAGTGTGCCTTTCAAATGCTTTTTTTTTTTATTATGCACGTCAATAATATAGGCCTTACAATGTTGGGTGGTTACTCCCAACATTATGTAACATGTGTATGTGGTGTATTTGTTATGACAAAGATGAGTGTGACTTTCAAATGCTTTTTTTTTTATTATGCACGTCAATAATATATATATGTATATATAGATGAGTTTTTTGTTGGTGTCAACTTTCAAATGCTTTTTTTATCTATTTATTATTATGCACGTCAAGAATATATATATAGTTGTGTTTATTATAAAAAAAAATAATAATAATAATCTTGAATTTGAATTGTTAGCATCTTGTTTGTTTGACTTCACCATAACTTCAAAAAGAAAAACCATTTTAAATGAGTAATTTTTATCATTGTTTAGATTTCAGATTGGAATGGATGTATGTACTACTTTCGTTCTTTCTTTTGCCATTCAAGGTGAATCGCAACCCTTCATTTCCATACATGCAGATATGTCCTGCTTATTTTCTTTTTTCCATTTTGTATAAGAATTTCAAGTGGGCCTTCTTTGACAAAATGTGCAAATGAAGTTTAGAATAACAGGAATAGACAACCACAATACCTCTACAATGAACCATACCATATGCACCAAAAGAGGGAAAACTATGAATAGAAACTGATCAAATGTTTTGATTTTAACATAGAAAAATCAGTCCACTGGGTTGTCTATAGACAGCACAACAGAACATGCTTTTCTATTGATTTCAAAGCTTGAAACTTTTCTGTGGAGTTTTTGCTTTAAATTCTTGTTCCTCTGGTTTCCTATTATGGTAGTTCATGGAACTACTTAAAGCTCCTAGCTTGTATGCTTTGATTTTACTCAGGCTCTGCATTGTTTTCTATTAGATCTTTGTTTGTTTGTTTGTGTGTGTACAGCACAGTGGTTACATCAGGTTAAAGCCTTCATATAATGAACCTTTTAATTATTGGACATTACATTATATGATATTATGATGGCTCTCTTATTCATTGTAGTAGTGGTCCTATATTTTTGTGCAAATTTTTTGATTTAGTAGGGAAGATTTAAGTTTTTTTTGTGGGGCATGTACTTTAATGCCTTTGAGAGTAAAGCAAAGTAGATTGATTATGACCACCAATTAAAAAGGTGCTGTCACTTTAGTTATCTTGCTGAACAGCACTAATCTTAGAGTGCACAATGCCTTGTGTTTGGCTGCTGTTCTGTTGAACAGAGGGGTAATAATAATATTCTTAAGTATTCATGTAGTTAGTGTGGAAGCCCCCACAGCCTAAAGGTTTCTTTTAGAGCTAGTCAGTAAACATTAATCTATTATTCAAGGGAAGTATGTGGAAATTAATTAGCGAGTAAAGTGGGGCTTTTCGGCCAAAACTGAGCTTTCCAGATGAGTTAATAGACTTTTTTAGCCAAGCGAAGCCTTTGTATAGGGAAGAGAACGTAACTACTTTGTTATTCATATGTATTAATTCCATTTTTTTTTTTTTTTTGTATACTATGAGAATTGGAATTCCTCATCATGGAGTTTTATGATCTGTGATGGAGGGAATATATTCATGGGAATAAATAGCCTTTTTTCACTTTTTCACAATTTCACAATTTCATCCTTGTGTTCTCTGTATCCTTCATTTGCATGTCTGAAAATGGAGTCTAGAAATACCCTCTGGTTGGGAGGGTAGGTGATGAAAGTGAGTTGAGTTGCCAATTGGGTTAACTCAAGAGTTAATTGAACTCAACTCTGCAGTAGATTAAAGGAAGAATGGAGGTGATTAATATATCATCATGATATAATCATGCAGTTTTATTTTATATAATAAGCCTCGTATCAACAAGTTTTGATTCATAAATTGATATAATTTTGGATTCATAAATTGATATAACTTTGAAAGGTATGACCATCTGTCTGAGTTGGTTATACCTTGTTAAATATATCCAAATGGAACAAATGGTGACAAGTGAGAAAAATAGTGGTCTTTCGACACTAAAAAAACTGGAACTCTGAAAATTAAGTAGTTGGTAAAAAGGAATGGTGAATTAAGTACTTACAACCCAGTTAATAGAAGAATGGATGGTATTGTTTTCCAAAGAAAAAGCAAACATGTTCAAGAGTAGCAAAA